TCCCACACACTCCGCTTTCCTCACCTAATTTCTTGACTAACTTCCCACACTCCTCACATCTAACTCGTTCGGTCTCTAACTCGAGGATGAAATAATTTTCGACGAAATGAACATTCGATGAAATGAACTTTCGACGAAACAAATTTTCGACGAAGTAAACGCGACTGACTAGACTCAACACATGATATGCAAAGGTAATGAGAAATTTTTTCGAATCTGTAATTTTTTGAATAAAAAAAGCAAACCAAGATTAAAAAATCAATTAAAAAATCCACAAGTTTTAATAAATTCATAATAAAAATGTATTCGTATAATCTACTTCTGCTTCCAAATACAATTGCAATAATCGTTCAAAAAACTCCCATTGGTTGGTCTTAGTATAGCTTTATGCATTAATCATACTTGGAATAAGGAAACGAGACTTGAATTGCATATGAGGCGTAAAAAGTTTAAAAATTAATATTGGATAACAGTATCAGTAAGATATATGGAGATACAACTTAAACATCAGGAAGAAGAGGGTAAGCGATTTAGCGAAGACATGGGTACTGATGACTATAAAAAACACAATAACAAAATGAGATTTTTAGATGAGAAATGTAATGAATTCTTCTATGAACTAGTAGAAGTAAAAAGATGCATGTTACGAAATAAATTAATCAGAAAAGGAGAAAGAGGCGATGTATTAAATCGTATTAATCATGTTAATAAGAGTGAGTGGTTGTATCCCTGGTCAGGATACGAAATAGAGGAAACAATTAATCCTATAGATTATGAACTTAATATAATTTTCGACGAGACAGAGATTTGAAGTTCATTGTAGAATAATGAATGAAATCCAGTGTTTTCGACATGGCCTATTTACTTGAAAAGTATCTTAATAATGAAGATATAATAATAATATTTAAATCAAAACTTTTTAGATTCAAATAGGTAATGAATTTTCAGCCACTCAATCCACATATAATCCTGGTTTCACTTTTTTATCAAATTTTTCGATTCAGTAGTAACCCAAAATATTAAAAAAAAATTCAATTCCAAAAATAATACCTCAATACCTGGACGTACATAGGGGTTTTTGAGTTGCCTGATTTTGACCAAGATAAAAATTGGTAGTAATCCAAAATATTTTTTCAATAGTAACCTAAAGTATTTTTTCGGTAGTAATTCAAAGTATTTTTTTGGTAGTAACCCAAGTATTTCGATGTAATAGTATAACAAAGCATGATCTGATTTTTTGATTCGAAAGCACCAACTATACGAGAAAGGCTTCCAGAGCTCCAAAACATATTGTCCTCATGGTAGTAACCCAAGGCATAATTATTATAGAAAGATATATATTATAAAAATTATGCTTTGGGTTACTACCAAGTGAAGATAACAATTTGGCATTTTGTACCTCATCCTCAATCTGTATTCGAATGCATCATGCAAAACCAGATCATGAGTACTATTTCGGCACTGTGTGCCTCAACCCGGCATTCAAATACAACGTACAAAGCCAAATACAGATTGCCAATTCGGTACTTCATTGCTTCATTCTCGCAATCGAAAAAATTGGCAGTTCGCCTAGGAAATGTGGTATTATTTATAGTAGTATGGGAGATTTCGTATTTTTTACGAATTAGTTTTTTTGGTCAAGAAGTGGGGATAGAGGTTCTATTTATACATTTTTGTATCAATTTATTAGACTACTCGATCAATGCTCAATTTGGTTATGAATAGTCTATTTTATGAAAAGTTACAACATTACGCATTTGCAAGCTAGGACACTTTGCATCCAGTTCAGGCATAGCTCTCACAATTGGCACGAGATATATGAAAGTTCAAATGTGGCCAAAAATTCAGAATTGGCCACGTCGTTATCCTGATGATAGTTCGCATGTGGTCTGACGACAGAAATTTGCCACCATTGTATGTAAGTAGATACATAGTCTAATCCTAGTAGATACATCATCAGGAAAATAAATCTCATGTAAACCTACGTAGGGTTTAAAACTGACCAGCATTATGCGGAAATGTTAACAGAATTACCAAAATATCGACATAATGCTGGCCAATTCTGAACCCTACGTAGGTTTATGTAAGATTTATTTTCCTGATGATAGTCTAGCTAAGTAGAAATATAATCTATTAGATTATATTTCTACCCGACTTATGGTGAAACCTTTTAACTTTTGCAATTCTCTAGTTTTGAAAACCAACACTAGTTAAAATAAGAAAACATCCCACTTTAATTATAAATCTTTGTTTCAGTAGGTGAAATGAACTTCAGGAAAATAAATCTTACATAAACCTACGTTATGTCGATATTTTGGTAATTCTGTAACATTTCCGCATAATGCTGGTCAGTTTTAAACCCTACGTAGGTTTACATGAGATTTATTTTCCTGATGAAGCCACATTCACATTATCAGCTAGATGCAAGAGAATGGTGAGTAAAAGTGAAACACGACTAAATTGATTTACTACCTATTGAAATCTTTGTGATTATAATTTATTGTCATCATAATTTGCTTTAGTGCTGTTAACTTTATTATTATTATTATTATTATTATTATGATATAACAGTTGATTCATAATGAGCAGGCATAAGAATTTTTCATATTTAAAAGAAATTTTATCAAAATAACATAATTACATAAATAAAATATTTTTAAAAAAATTTCTTTATATACTTAACCAGTTAATTAACTGGTTTCAACCTCTGGATTAAAAACATAATGAAGAGCTTTATTAATCCATCAGAATAATGTTATTTCAAAATCTTAATAATATTATGCAAATACACTCCCCTACCATAAATATCCGACCACCTGATGATCATTTAATAATCGGAAATGTTACGCCTTATGCAGTTCAAAGTTTTATTAAAAGTTAATTTGCATATAAACTTAAAGTCTCGTCGAGTTTACATTATTAATGAATTTAGAATGAAAATTTTAAATTAGACAAAAAATTCCGTGATTTTTATGAAAACTTTGATCTTAGTAAAAACCTTCAAAACTCCGTTGAATCATCAATTACGTCATTAAGTAAGTCCACTTAAAATATCTTGAATTACATATGGTTAAAATTTGAGAAAATTTAATCAAGTGTAGACAACAAAACGTAAAGCCTTAAAATTTGCATTTTGCCAACTTTATCAAGTGTTTTATATAATAAAATTATAAGGTGGTCGGATACTTTTTAACCCTTTTCACGAACTAATTTATGCCAACACCATATTGTGGATATATGTAATCTGTTATATTGAGCACATTTTTATTGATGAAATAATATACATTACAATGAAGAAATTTGACCTTTATTATATGTAAAGATTCCGATTGAAAATTTGCTTTTTTGGACTATTTGCTAAATGTTTCTATTAATACCATACCGAACCTTTCGAAGCTTTTGTAATTTAGAGATTTTGATATCAAGTACAAGTCTACTTAGTAAAGTAAAAACGGTTTTATTTAAGAAAACGTTACTTTTTTAGTAAGGACTCTTTTCATTTGACGTTACACGACTTGGGTAGTCGGATACTTATGGTAACCCGGATGTACTCATGAGTACAAACACTATTACTATAAATATTCCAATTCATACAATTTGCAATATAAAGTAATCAATTAATTATTAATATCTTATGTACTATATCTGTCGAGTAATTTTTCATAACACACTGTTTGTAAGGTCTTCTTTTTTAAACAACTTTAAAATTTTGTCCATGAAATTTTAACATGGAATTTTTTAACAATTGCTCTAACACAAAATCACATAATAATTATACATAAAAAATATCAATTCGTAGCTTAAATTCTAATAAGATTTTTACGTGTATATAATAGTTTTGATGTGGCTTAGAAAAATAAATTCGCAGGTCCAATTATTTTCGTAACACATATAATTATTATAAATTTCATACAGTAATAAACAGCAGGCTCTGATGTTATCAAAACTATAATAAATAGAGTTAATATATGAAAAGACAATGAATTATTGAAAACATATAAAATAAATAGAATTGTTAATGAATGAATATATATGAAAGATTAAGAAGATAAATTTGAATTTTCTTACGTCTTACACTTAATAAATGGTTTTACGTGATCCTTTATTTTATCTCATGCTCATATAATACGTTTGGTTGGTAGTCTTACCCACTGATTATCGAATATTTTCGTAATAATAAATATCCGATTATCCGTATTACCAGTATATGCACAAAAAACGTCTTTAGATCATTTTTATTTTATTATTCACACTTAAAGATAGAGGTTGACACCGTTAACCGTTTAACTCATCAACCTTGGCGTTACAAATTGTTATTGTTGTTCATCCAACTAGAACACATAGAAATAAATAAAAAATCAATCCTTACTTTTTTTCTTTTGGGAGTAACTTATGACTATAGTTTCTATTCGTAATACAACTTAATTTTAATATTAATGTTAATAATTCGGTTTACTCGAATTATTCGTTTTATTCTATTGTTCGTTTTGTTCATTATTCATTTATTATTATTCGAATTATTTGTTATATTCGAGTAAACATTCAATGTAATTTGAATGCTCAAATTTATAACGAATCAAATAACTCTTATTCGAACAGAAACCATACTATGACTATTTGATAGTAGAAAAAAAGTTTTTTAAATTACTATTACTATTATTATTATCATTACAAGGACTATTAAGGAAAAATATAATTGAGTATACTTGTTATATTTGAATTTTCACGTGATTAAATTAACCGATTAATAAAAGTTAACCGGTTAAAAATTTTTTGCCTTCTAATTATAAACAGAGATAAAATATTTCCCACAAGGATTAATAAATCTTATTATTATTGAGATATTATTATTCGACGATTATCCAATCAATGAATATTTCTACATATGTTTTTTTAAAAAACCGGCTCTCTGAATATTTCGAGTATCTCTTGGTGCAATGAGTGCAGCAAATAAGCAAGGTGAAATACCAACAGACAATCTTGATGTTTTAGCCGTTATCTTCTATATATAGGTCAAAAAAGAAAGTAAAAAAATCCAACAAATTTGAATTTCTGGTACATAAATATCTTTAATTTAGAAAAGGTAGGTATACTTTGAGGAAATTAACAAATTTTCACTACAATTATTATATATAAAAAGCATTTCATATGAATTGATCAACAATGGGGTTCCAAATTTGGAAAGATCCCTGGCTGTTATACAGTCGGCGCGAACCTACTGTTACTATGGTGAAATGTTGTTATAATGATCTTTAATATAAATTCTCCATATAATAATGAATGATATAAATGAAGTTTTTTGCCAAAAGTCAATTCTTCCTTATATCGAACGCCGACTGTAACTAATTTATCCTACGGAGACTAATGTGATTATGATTAAAAGTTATTTGAAAAAGTTATTGTATATTTTTTATACAATAAAAAATTTATTTTTTCCCCCATTTATTTCTTTTATCTCAACCTATTTTTACTAGTGCAACCTTTCCTAAAAAGTTCCAGAGGCTTCAACATCTACTTTACTTAAATCAGAATGGTTGATTTTATTTCTCAAGATACTTCAATGTCAATTCCCCCTCTACACAAACTTTTATCGTCAAAAAGCTCTGGTAAACAACAATCAACATCTTGCTGCTACGAACACTTTTAACTCGTGCAGTAGAACCACCAAGATCTTCAATTCTTGAAGTAATAATGATAACAAATACTATCAAATGCTACTCCCGAATTTTCTTCAAAAGAAATTTCCTATATTCAAGTACTGTATATAGCTAGCAGCAATTCTTTGTATATATAATTAATATTTTAAAATAATGATCTGCACCTGTGAAATAAATTTTTATCACTATGAAATATCACGAGCGACCATTAACTTGGGATAAATTATAAAATTTTTCAGTAGATGTCAACCACCAATATGAAAATTAAATATGTACAAAAAAATTACCAAGTCAGGAACAAAATATTCAGGAACCATTGCACTGGTCCTAATATCGTTAACAAATCATTGAGAGATGTGCCTTTTGTTGTTAGTTTTTTATTATCACATGACATGTACAACGTCGGCCATTTAAGCTTTAAAAAATCCCTTAGTATTATTATTGTAAGTATTTTGTAACCATGATCAATAAAACAATGCTTATCCTATATCTGGAAATTATGCATGTAATAATGTTAACAGGTTTGGAAGTAATTAAATGTAAAGTCACACAAGCATTCTTTTGAAAAAATCATTTTGTGAAAAATATTTATATAATAATATTATATTTTTTCGGAAAATATTAAGATCTATTTTTATTTGACATTTTTGACCCTTTCAGAAAAGTCATCAATGCCGTCTGTAGATGGAAGTAAATCTGCTTCCCGACTTAATGTGACAATTTATGGCAGCAACAGAGCCAATTTCCTTTCATCATGGCTGTTTCTTTGGATATTTCATGTATTAAAAATATCAAGAAAACATAACTTAAGGAGAGACAACTTATTTTTGCAAAATTCTGAAAAAGCAAAAATTTTAGGTGATAAGATAGAAGAAAATTGGAATGCAGAATGTAATGAATGTAAAAATGATAGGTAAAAAAATTTTTTATTAAAAGGAAACATTCATTTTTTTTTTTTTAAGATTGTGATGTTTAATTTATGAATGCCAATGAATAAAGATAATAAATAAAAAATTTTTATATGATTACAAATCATTTATCTATTTATTATCTTATCATATCTTAATTGTAATATTTCATTTAATTAATCTAATTTTAGTAAACCATCAATTCTTCGAACCCTGATCAAAACATTTGGAATTTCCTATGCATTTTTGGGCATATACAAATTATTTGCAGCATCGTTTTTATTTATTGGTTCATACTATTTGCTTAGTGAATTGATCAAGTATATTGAACTAGAGAAAGATGGTAGTGGTCAAGGAACTGCGCATGTGTATGCGGTTGGAATGTTTCTCTGTGCGTTATTTAGCAGCATATTTGTTCATCAATTGATTGCTGAATCTACAAGGATAGGCGTACAGGTCAATATAATGTATACAAATGATTCTAGATAGTATCATTTGTGACTTTAATTTTCATTTGATGTAGTTTAGTTACAATGAAATTTTTGTTAAATTATTTGTGATTTAGGTCCGTGCTGCATTGATGGTATTGATTTACCGTAAAGCATTAAAACTTAGTACTGTTCGTGGTAGAATTGGTGATATTGGTGGGTAATTTCTATTTGATATTCTATTATTTGATTTATTAAAAAAATATATATATATTAATATTTAATAATATTTATCTAGTCAATTTGGTATCTAACGATTGTAATAGGTAAGTATTAAATTGATTTAATTATAATAGACTCTTTCTCAACAATTAAATTAATTTTCCTTGCGATTATTATCATTTTTTTTGGTCCATTGGTTAAATTTACACTTTAAGGATTGCTGAGGCTTGTGTAAATCTTCATTTTATTTGGAGTTCTGCATTGGAAATAACCGGTAAATTTTTATTAAAAAATCCATTACTTCGATAAAAATTTTAAATATGCATCTATTAATTATTTTTTTTTATAGTAATGATTATTTTAGCATGGATTCAACTTGGCATTGCTGCCTTACCGGGTAAGAATAATAATAACAACGATGATAATAATAATTACAATGACAATGGTTATTGTTAATAATTAATCACGTTTTTAATATATAAACTTATTTTTTCTGATTTAATCATTTGAATTAATTTAGCACTCATAATACTGCTCATTTTGTTTCCTATCCAATATAAACTCGGAAGGCTTACTTCTAGTATATCCATCTCAATAACAAGAAGCACATCATCTCGTATACATTTAATGTCTGAAATTTTAACAGCAATAAAATTGATCAAATTTTACGCATGGGAGTTATATTTTCGTGATCGTGTTAGTCGTGTAAGAAGACAAGAATGGGATCATATTTTAAATGGGATTGTTGTTAAAGTATGGACATACTGTGTACTGTTTGGTGCTCCTATTTTAGCAATGTTGGGATGTTTATGTGTAAGACTTTTAATAAATGATGATGATACAGTGTTGGATGCCCATACTCTTTTTACAGTTTTGGCACTATTTTACACTGTTAGGTGGGTAATAAAAATAAAACAAATTATTGGTAAAAACTATCGTTATTAATTGAGTAAAATCGATAATAACAATCATAATAGATATCCTTTATTTATGCTTCCAATTGCTGTCAAGACTACTCTAGGTAAATTTGATTAGACTCAAATTATTCTTATTCTTATTATCATTATTATTAAATAGAATTACAAAATAATTATAAATTAATTTATTTAGGTTCACGGGAATCAATTCATAAAATAAATGTTTTTTTGTTGCAAAACGAAATTGAACCTTTTAATCAAGAAGCGGGTCCAATAAATGGCGATCCAGACTTAAGAATATATATTGATGACGCTGACTTCTATTACGAAGGAACGTCTGAACCAGTTCTCAAATTTTTGAGTATGAAAGTGAGAAAAGGAGAAGTCATTGCTATAGTTGGTGATGTAGGAGCTGGCAAATCTTCAATATTAGCAGCCATTCAAGGTCAAATTAAGAAAGAAAATGGCGTTCGTAAGGTACTTGGCTCAATCTCTTATGTACCACACGACGCTTGGTTGTTGAATGCCACCTTAAAGGAAAATATTCTTTTTGGGGAAGATTTTGATTCAAAAAAATATCAAGAGGTTCTACATTGTTGTGCGTTAAATAAAGATTTGACTTTATTGAGCAATAAAGATGACACAGAAATTGGCGATAAAGGTGTTAATTTAAGTCTTGGTCAACGACAAAGAGTGAGTCTGGCAAGAGCTGTTTACAGTAATGCTGATATAGTTTTATTAGATGATCCTTTAAGGTTTGTGAGTCTTTGTTAATCAAATTTCATTATTTAATTATATATAGTGAAAATGTAATAATATTAATAAATTAAAAGTATGATGGACCCTGTTGTTGGCAAACATATATTCCATGAATGTATTCGTAAATACCTCAAGGTAAATTATTGATTCAATTATAATAAACACATATATATTTACGTATATGTATTAATAAGAGAAAATCATAATTTATTAATAGGACAAAGCCATTATCTTTGTAACAAATCAACTACCGGTATTTTAAAAGTTTTGTTTATTGTAGATTTATTTAGTTATTTATGTATATTTTTAATTTTTGGTATGCTATATGTTTTTATATACATAGTATCTTCCCGAGTGTGATCGAATCATGGTTATGAGGGATGGTGAATGCTTTGAAGAGGGAACTTATGAAGAACTTGAGAAAAAAGATGTAAATCTTGCATCTTTGGTTGGTGAATATATGGAGATAGAAGATCCTGATTTAATTGATGAATTGATTGGTGAAATTCGATTAGAACCAGTTTTGGATGAAGAAATTGATAATGAACCGGAAGAATTACAATCTGTAGTTGTGTTTGACGACAACAACAACAACAACATCAACAACAACAACAACAACAACAACAACAACAACAACGATAACAACAATAACAACAACGACAACAATGATAACAACAACAATAATAAACCCTTTGCAGCTATAAGCCTTAATGCAATGGGTCGAACATTGACGAATACTGACGCGGATGAACAAACTATTTCTCGTATCATAGAAAAAAATGCTCATACAATACAAAATTCAAGCATTAATGAACACACAATATCAAAAATTATTGAGAGGAATAATTTGACTGTCCTTGGTGGTGCTGGTAGAACAAGAATGATGGGTAATCAGGTGAATAGAGAATTGAATGTTACTGCCAAAGCTGTTGAAAGGAATCAACTTACCATTCACAGTATAAATGAACGTGAGGATATGTCATTGATGCCTGATTCAGAAACCAAAAGAAATGAACCGAAAATTAGTTGGCAATGTTGTGTAGACTATTTTAATAAATCTACTGGATTCACTTTAACATTTTTAATGATCCTTTCGTTTTTTTTGATTGCTGCAGTAAGAATATTCAGTGGTTAGTATTTAACAAGAGTTAATTATTAATATTGAAAATATTAAATTTTCTCAAAAAACAATTTTATTTATTTATATATAATACTCTAAGATTGGTGGCTTATAAAATTGGTCGGAATAAAGCGCAATTTAAATTATGGTGTTTTTCTTGGAGTATATGGAGCACTTGTGGTAACATTTTGTTAAGAATATTTTAAATAATACCAAATTATACAATTGTTAGAAAATGATATTTTGACTTTTTTTTTTTAAATGCTCTTTTAGGGTATAATTATTTTAGGTGTTTTTATACGTGGCGTGTTTTTCGCTTGGGCAATGATGAGAAAAAGCATGTCTTTACATGATCGAACATTTAGTGTAAGTAAATAATAATGTTAATAAATAATGATAACAAATAATAACAGATTATTAATTGATTTTTTTTCAAAAACAACTTTTATTTCTATTTTATTATTATTGTTTAAAGAAAATTATGCGAGCACCAATGGCTTATTTTGATATTACACCTCTTGGGAAAATCTTAAATGTATTTGCAAAACATCAATATCTAGTTGATGATGTTTTAACTGACAACTTTTTAACAGTAAGTTTTGAATAACAATATTTAATAATGATCGTTTTATAATAATTTTCATTTGTATTCATTTGTCTTTTTTATATAATATATACATACACATCTCTTGGAAATTATTAGTTTGTATCATTTGTGCCACTTATCATCGGAACAATTGTATTTGTAATAATACTTGTACCATGGACAGGATTAGCTGTTGTTGTATTAATATTCCTTTTATGGGTTTTAATATATTATTCAAAAGATGTTGAAGAAAGATTTAAACAATTAGACGGTATAATGAAACCAAGATGATAGTAATGATAGCATCAATTGTGGATAAATTCCATCAATTTATTAATTTAAATAATAAATTTTAAAATTTTTTTTTTAGCCGATAGCAAAGCATCAATATTTTCACATTTATCAGCCACATTAGAAGGGCTTCCTAGTATTCGTGTTTACAACGCACAAACGAGATTTGATGAACAAAACATTGATAAAATAGATTCAAACAATAAAGCTTTATTTGCAATGATGCAAGGTATGAATTAATAATAAATAATAGTTGTGGCGATGACAATCTGATAATATAATAACTAAACCAACTATTTTTTTTAATAAAAATTAATATTACAGTACAAGCTTGGCAATCATTATATATCGACATATTGGCATCGCTCTTCATATATGCAACTGTTATATCTGTTATTTTAGATAATAAAGATCCATCCACAGCCGGTTTGGCAATCGCTAGTTCATTACAATTACCTTTATTTGGTCAATGGATGGTTAGATCTGGTCGTGATGTAATTTCAATAATGGAAAGCGTTCAACAATTACTTTATTATCGACAGGAAATACCCTCTGAGGTGTATATTATATGACATACTATAGAATAATTATTGTTTTTAATAAATAAATAAATAACTTTTTTTTGTCATTTACTTATTTAGGCTCCAAATATAATTGAAGATAATCGGCCACCATCAGAATGGGGAAACCGTGGCGAGGTATAAAAAATATTGCCATTGATTATAACAAAGCATATATAAATTGATATGTTATTTAAAACGCGTGCATTTATTTATTGAATTTTTCATTAGATTGAATTTAAAAATGTCATATTGCGATATAATGTTTACGGTGTCGCAGTATTAAAAGATATTTCGTTTCATATTCAACCACGTGAAAAAATTGGCATAGTTGGAAAAACCGGATCTGGTAAGTTTCATTCTTCCTCTCCTCAACTTTTTTTTGGAAAATCTATATATACATCACAAATAGACATTAATTAAAAGATAAATAAAAAATAAAACCATAATTATTAGGAAAATCTACTTTATTAGTAAGTTTATTAAGAATAGTAGAATTGGCAGAAGGACAAATATTAATTGATAACCTGGATACTAAAACTATCGGTTTAAGAGATTTAAGGAATAAAATTGCAATTATCCCACAAGGTATCATCTTTTAATTAATAAATATGTACATATTTATACTATTTATATAAACATTAATATAATAATATATAATAAATAGAACCAGTAATATTTGCTGGTACAATAAGATCAAACCTTGATCCATTTAATAAGTGTACCGAGGAGGAAATATGGGAGGCTCTTAGAGCAGTACATTTAGAAGATAAAGTGAAATCCATGCTAGGCAAATTAGATGCACAAGTTCTTGAGAACGGAAAAATTTTTTCATTAGGTCAAAGGCAATTGTTTTGTATAGCAAGAGCACTTTTGAAAAAAACTAATATTTTAGTGTTGGATGAAGCAACTAGCGCTGTAGATTTACATACTGATGTTCTTATCCAAGAAACGATCAAAAAAAATTTCGCTGATCATACTGTATTAACAATCGCCCATCGATTGGTTAGTATTATTATTATTACATCTTCTTTTTTAAAAAAAAATGATTTATTAACATATATCTGTATATTGCAGAACACAATGGTGGAAGCCGATAGGATACTATGTTTAAATGAAGGAAGAGTTATAGAATTTGATACGCCACTTAATTTATTAAATAATCAAAATGGATTCTTCTATCAACTTGTAGCATGTAGTGGGTCACAAGCAGCAGAAAAACTTAAACAAATGACAATACAACACGCAAATTCATCAAATTCATATTCAACAGCTTCACAACCTTTACCAGTAGTTAAATCTCAAGAATCAATATCTACAACAACAACAACATCATTGTCATCATTATCACCGGAAATAAAAGAAGGGTTAGAAAAGGATCCACAAAAAACTGTTAGATCAGTGGCGGAGGAGAAAAATAGTGACGATGATGATCATGATAATAAAAGTAGTAGTAGTGTTAAATTATCATCATCACCATCACCGTCAACGTCAACACCACCATCACCACCATCATCTACAAATATAATTTCAATAAATTCACTATCACCAAATGATCATCATATGCCACTTTCATTAGAAGAAGTATTTGCGCAACCAATTCCAATGCAGCAATTACAATCTTCTACTACCGCAACTACTACTACTACCACTACCACCACCACTACTACTAATTCACAAGATTTATCATCGTCATCAACATCATCAAATGAATCATAAATTAAAATCGATATATATATAAATATTTATTAATATAAACATTTTGAAGTATAAATAATTACAACAGAGTTGATAATCAAAAAAAACTTTTTTTTTTTTCAAGATATAATGAAGTAGAGATATTATTGGAAAGCACTACAAGCAAATGATAACAATATAATTGTTTTTTAAATTATAGTTATTGCATTTCATTGATTTGATTGTTTTACTGGACTTACTGATGAAAATATATTTTATATAGATTAATTAAATTCCTATATTAGTAATCTCTTTAATTCCATTATTTTCTTATTTCATCAAATGAATTATAAACTTTGTTTTGAAACAAAAAATATTATAGTATATATTAATAAGAGGATTTCTAGCAGTGTAGTGACGGACGATCTCTGCAAAATATGTTACATATTAATATTAATATCCTTGTATGTGAAATCGAAATCTATAATTAAAATTTTGGGGTGGGTGTTTGGATATGAAATTCTAATTGGTTAATTTGAATTTCACATGCGCGAATTACAAATTCATTTTCACGCACAACGCCTCTAAAACTTTCATCTTGTGGTATAGATATATATATATATTATGCAAAAAACTCAATTTTGATCCGGAGGCCTTATACCTGGTTTTTGCTAGAAACCACCCATTCAATATAAAAATAATTTCATTATCATCTAATATTAATAATAATTACCTACATCTAGGGTTGTGTTGGTCCAGTTCCAAGACCGGTCTTTGAATTGGTCCCCTTGGACCACAGTCCTAATTTTTAGGTCTAGTATATGGTAACTTTTCAATAAAAACGGACCATCAGTGTTGGAAATCCAACGATCTTGTGATCAGCATTTGCACATATTATCAAATTCAAATTATGGAAATAGTTCTGTTGTATGTGAAATTGAAACTATTAAAATTTTGGGGGTGGGGTGTTTGGATATGAAATTCTGATTGGCTAATTTGAATTTCACGTATGTGGATTGCAAATTCACGGATTTCTTTTTCACATACAACAGTTCTATGAATTAATCCTCCTATTTTTTATCTTCTCAATATCCACATGCTTTCTTAAAATTAAAGTCTTCGATTTCAGGTCCATTTAATAAAATCATTAAATGATTATTCAATGTATCAAGTTTCATTTTGTTCCTTAATTTATTCTTAATCAATTTTGCTTGGAAAAATATTCTTTCTGCATTAGCATTTGAAGGAGGGATATTTTAACTAAAAGGGATATGTTTGGGTAATTAAAAAAGTCTCCATCTGTGTCAAAAATGAATTTACAAAACATATTTTTATTTAGTATTATAATTTGCACATAAAATGATCCAGATTTTTCGTGTAACATGCTGCGTCCGCACCTTCCGCACCCTGAATTTCCAACACTGGAGACTATGCATGTTGTGAAAATGATGTTTTGAGAAAATTAAAAAAAGATCTACATTTTAAGGGGTTTACTATCATGTTTGAAATTTTTAACTATGCAAAGTGGGTATGGCTTCTAAGCCAAAAATGTTCTATGTGAGGAGTCACATGTAGAAATGGTATTAACTCAAAATTTGCTTTTTTCACAACATGGTTTGTTTGCTCCCATACAATTTACAGCTACATAACTCATTGTTTTATGAATGCATTGTTGAAAATGATATCTCAATTATTTCTTCAATAGGCACGGTGCAATGTGTTCAAAGAGGAACAAGAAGTGAAGTATGAAACTATTTCACAGTTGTAGATGGAAAAACCAAATATTTTGTTTGACTTTTGAAACTATTTATTTTCAAAGGCAACACTTTTAAAATTACATATAATTCAAATTATTTCATATGGTGTATATATGGGGCATGCTGCAACACAAAACCAGACAAAGTGAATATTGTATTACCAAAGAATTTCAGGTATCAATATTATTTTTAACATCATAATTGTATTCAATTGCATTACTAATGTAATGTGATCATGATATTTGTCTAAGCAAAAATTATTAATTAATATGAAGTTGATTTACATCAGATCTACTATGGAACCCAAAAATTACAGCACCATTAGAAGTATTTTGAAGAAGGAATAAGATGAAAAATTGCACCTTATATTTTTAAATTAGCAGATACTAAATCCTTGCAAACATATTTAGATAAAGAAAGGACTACCTATGAAATTTATCAAGAAGAAAGAGAAATAATAAACACTAAGAAAAGAACATTAACACAGAACCACAAAGAACCCAGAAAGAAAAGAAAATTAGTAGAGAAATAATTTGCTGTCTAATATAATGAATATATTATCTTAAAGATTAAAGATATTAAAAAAAGATTGGTAAAAAAGAATTAGTATGAGTTGGTTTGACTTGCTTAGGTTTTACTTCAACTATTTGTCCTTGTTTCTTTTTTAAGTGAAGTTTCTCACTTATATTTTTTGTAAACTGTAGTAGTTTGTTCTTTTTCCTTGGTAATGCTGGTAAAGATTTGTTGGCTAAATGTAGTTCTTGTTTTAGTTGCTGGATTGCTTGGGCTTGCCAACTTATCTCCTGATTCTTAACTGTTTCTAATTGTTCTAATTTCTCAGCTAATTGTCTTTCTCTTCATTCTTGGGCTACTTCTAAGGCTTCAAGATGAGTTTTGGCATCTAATCTTGCCTCTTTAGTTTTTTGCTTTCAATAGTTTTAATTATTTTGCTATTTCTCTCTTCATTTCTTAATGAATTCTTCTTTTCAATTATCTTTATCTATTTTTATTTCTTCATCAGTTGGCTCATAATATTTTAAAACTACTTCAGCAATGTTATTTTCAAGGCTTTTATAATCCTTTTCAATTCTTTCTTTTTCCTTAGTTATTTTATACTTTTCTACTTCTAAGTTTTCTTTTGTAATCTCAATTTTGTAATTATTAAATTATCAATTATACCATCTTTATATTCATCTGTTATTAGACATTTATTCTTAATCAACTCCACTAACATTTCTTCTAGTTCTTCAGCTTTCTTTTTTAATTGTATTAATTCTTGATTATTTTCAGGTGCTGGAATTCCTTTTACTACCATAATATATTATTTTAATAAAATTTTATATTGGTTTTGGACAAGTAATATCTTTAAATTCATCCCTTACAAATGGGCAAATATTATTATAAAAATATTCTTGCCTTTTATGATCCAAAGGAGGTGGTGTTAACACTAAAATAGATAAATTTTTAATTTCTTCAATGATATCTGCTTTCTTAGTTTTCAATAAATTGAATTCAGTCAAAGGTCCATTAGCAACTTCTTGAACTTTTACTGTACCAAGATTAGATGCTTCAAAAAGAAAATATTGATATTTCTGTATGCTTGGTAATTTCTTAAAATAAATTTCCAAAATAGCTTTGATATCTAAGTATTGAAAACCTTTTCCACCTTCATAGCATTCAATCCTGCTGGACTAGACTTTTTTATTACCTCAACCACATGATCCAGATAGTCTACTCTTGTTCTTCTATAAAGTTTTTTGATCATGCCAAAATTACCATCACATTTGAATTTGGTGTGCCCAGGAATCATGAAATTTAATTCAATACTTTCATAATAATCACAGATTAGCAAATATAAATAAAACCAAATTGTTACATTATTTTTATTTTGTCCCCCAGCATTATCACAAATAATCTTTAAATGCTTTTCACCTTTGTTCAATTTCTTAATTCCATAAAAAATCATGCTAAGGGTTCCATTGGGCCCTTTTCCTATAATCTCATTTTCATTAAAAACATAATTAATTTGTTTGTTCTCTTACTGCTTCATCTTGAATACCAAATAAATGAACTTTACATGGACTAAGATAATAAATTTTACTTACTTGTTGATCTAAATGAGGCACATGAACATTTTGAGCTCAATCATAACTATAATGAGCAGTAGCATCAATACTGCAATATTGTGCTTACTCTTTGAATAATTTTGATTAACTAATTTTCTGCTAATTTTGTGTTTTTATTATAATAATTTCTTTCTAATTTTGCCTTGGACAAATGCTGGCCAACCATATTGTAAATATGTGACCTTATATCTTCTGTGCTTACATGATTACAACCTAATCATGATACTATGACATTACAACCTAATTATGACACTATGACTTATGACAGTGCATACTCAAAAGTTAAAATTTTTGAAATATTATGTGATCCACACATTGGATTTTAAAAAACTTTCCACCATTCAATTCAGCTTTAAAAGGGGAGATTAATCTAAAAAAAAATTTGTCTCAAATTTTCTTTTCATAGATTTTTTAAATTTGAAAGTTATGATCAGAAGTGCAACAATAATTTTCGTGTTACAATATTTTGAATTTCACGATCAAATTTGGTAATGATTTTCTTTTAATGTTAAAGTTTTTTGTTTATTTATTAATAAATAAATCAATATGAAAAAAAAAGTTGTTACACGAAATTTACTTAGTCTCAATTTCTTAAATGTATAACAAAATTCGGAATTTTCA